TTCATGATTTCGCAATGCAGCGTGAGATCCACTGTGGTGGATATTATAGTAAGGATACCATGCACACTCTTAAAGAACATGGCATTCGCGAGCTGTTGTTTGTAATTTCGTACAGGCGCGTACATGCAGATTTATTGATTTACTGTAACCAAAAATTTTTAAGACGTACGTTACCTTCAATAATCCAAAGAATACATGCTCAAATATTTTAAATATTTGTATTCGCTTTATAGTTAATATTCAGCAAGTTTTAAAGTTTATTCTGAACTTATTATAGTGCTGTCTTTTACCTTCGGTATAATATATCATTTATAGACCCTTGGGGGATTCGCCGAAACATTACCCTCAGTGATGATATTTCAAATATTAAATAAATATCATCACTTCGGGTAATATTTCGCCGAATCCCTCTCGCTTCGGGTCTATAAATGATAAATAAACTATATGCTAAAAGAACACCTTAACAATTTAAAATAATAGATAATCAGTCTGTAAGCGTCAGTGCATAGTTTTAAATGTTTCTTTATTGGATTGCGAGGCTTCCGAATGTGTGATTAATATATCTCCAATGTTCATCGCGGGAAGTGATATTATCGACATTATCTTACGTGCATGGGATAATAGCGTGAGGTGGTTGGAAATACGGCTGCTTTTTCTGGACGCATGTTGGAACACAATGAAAGTACTAAACATTACGTAGTCCACTGTGAAGTTGTCCTTCACGGAGGCCATGATCTGACCATCATTGACACAATCACTAGGTCTGCAAGAGAACTTTTAATAAAATCGCCAAGTTTTAATTAATTAACGTTACAAATGAACATTGTACGCGTTTCCCATGTACGCGTTTTCCATGTACGCGTTTTCCATGTACGCGTTTTCCATGTACGCGTTTTCCATGTACGCGTTTTCCATGTACGCGTTTTCCATGTACGCGATTTCCATGTACGCGTTTTCCATGTACGCGTTTTCCATGTACGCGTTTTCCATGTACGCGTTTTCCATGTACGCGTTTTCCATGTACGCGTTTTCCATGTACGCGTTTTCCATGTACGCGTTTTCCATGTACGCGTTTTCCATGTACGCGTTTTCCATGTACGCGTGTACGTGTATGCGTGTACGTGTACGCGTGTACGTGTACGCGTGTACGTGCACGCGTTTTCCAGACAACCCTTTGAAACATTTAAGTAAGACCTTAAAGCAGTGTTAAAGACAAAGAGTTATTTTAATGTACCTTTAAGATCGCTTTAAGGAAATCTAAAGATGTATTTTCAAACATTTAAGTAAGACCTTAAAGCCTTATTAAAGACAGAGTTGTTTTAATGCACCTTTAAGATCACTTTAAGGAAGCCTAAACAAGCATTTTCAAACCTTTAAAGTTGAACATTAAAGGTACAGTAAATTCTCTTTTAATGAACTTTAAGAAACATTTCAGAGAGGCCTGAAATGCGTCAATACTTTGCTTTAAGTACAGAATTAAATTCTCATTAAAAGTTCATTCTATAACTTTAATGATGCCATAAAAGACACCTGAAATGTTCCAATTGTATAACTTTAAGGTTGATTTCAGTTCACTTAAATCTCAATTTTCGTCCTGTGTATATAATAACGGCTTACAGTAACTTTTAAGTAACTTTTTAAGCCTTAAAAGGCTTTCAGTTTCATATAGCTATCGTCAGAGACGTAGCCGGGGTTTTCAGTCAGAGGAGGCCCCAGAATAATTTTTCAAATTTCACTGTGCTTTATTTTATATGGTTATGTCTTAATGTTCCCTACTTTAAAGCGTGCAGGTTTACTTACAAAAAATGTATAACTGTACCAAAACCTAAAACATGCAGGGATAGAGTAGAGTACTCGAAAATGGGGGAAGTACAATGTATGAATGACCTGTAACCTTGGGGGTTTCGGGGGCATGCTCCCCCGAGAAAATTTTATAATTCGAACCTCGGAAATGCTATTTCCTGCGTTTTCAGCCATGGATTCGTCCAACAGCCTTGCTGTACTAAACCTAAGGAACACTTACTGTCCTTTATTTTAAACAAGGAAAAATCAGAAAATGAGCTTTGACTAATATGTAATAAAACAAGATTTCGGCAATAATGCGATTTTTAACTGCCCTCGAGCTCCGAAACAACAATGTTCCACAAATATAGCTCTGTAGTTTTCAATCGTTCATACAGCTAGCTTGTTGGAGATCGGGTTGCAACCTCTTCAGGAATTTTTTAAAATCTAGACTCTCTAAACTATCATTTTCGCATTAAAATCATCGTATAAACAATACGTTCAACTTGCATCCTGCAAATGGGCATTTGAAACTTTAATAGTTTGGAGCTATGTTATCAAAAAACGCACACAGACACAACCATCCAAAAATACTTTTTCAACCATGCATATTAGATATGTATAAATAACTTATAAACTTGTACATATCTTAAGCCCAGATTTTTTCTGGGGGGCAACAATTTTGCCAGAGAACGCCACTGGCTATCGTATGTTATAGGCTCCAAAGCGGCAGAATCCCGGTGATGTTGTCCACTGTTCACCCCATGTTCTTTTAAACAAATGTGCCTGCTCAAAAGTGTAAAATCTTGCAAGCCTGTGGACAAAATACTGAAGTGAAGAACGTCTGTAGATTTACATGTAGGAAATTTTTTTGAGCGCTCTCTTTTGCATGATATTTTTTTCTCGATTGTATGCGCAAGATTTTTTTTTCTTTCTCCTTGGATTGCAGGAAATTTTTTTTCGAAATCTTCCAAC